GGCGGGAGCGCCACCGCGCTCCCAAGCGGCGCACTGTAGCAGTGCGTCACCGGGCCAGCCCTCACAAATTACATTTTAAGCTCCATTTTGCTTCATCCACATATTTTGACATGTGTTTCCATTATTCTTAAATTTAAAATAGTTTTTAGGTTTTCTTATAATTTGTACTTTAACCCATACGTTTTTAGAAGTGTGTTATTTTAGATTCCCAAGTATTTGGTGATTTCCCTAATATTTCTAATTTAATCCCTTTATTACCAAAAATATATATTCTGCTTGATTTCAGTTTTTTGAAATTTGATACTTGTGAATATCGCTTTAGCACTTGACAAGATTGTTTATTTTGCACTTAGTGGGTAAAATGTTTTTTATTTATTTTTTTTTTTTTTCCTTTTTTGTCTTTTTTCATGACCGGTAACGGGATCACAACCCTCAGTGTCGCGCCCGCACCGCGCTCAACCAGTGAGTGGACTGGTCTCCACATGGGATCCGAACCCTCGGCGGGAGGCCGCCGCACTCCCAACTGCCGCACTCTACCGAGTGCGCCACCGGGCCGGCCCTAAAATGTTTTTTAAATCTCAAACTTGTTATGGGATTGATAGTGTTGTCCAAATATCTATCCTTACTCATATTTCTGACTAATCATTTCATCAAATATGTTGAAAAGAATACTAAAATCTTCAAGTATAATTATTTTTATATCTTCTTTAGTTTTGTCACTTTTTGCTCATGAATTTTATTTAAGTATTTTGAAGATTTGTTGTTAGGTTCATAGATATTTACAATGTTCTATCTTCCTAATCAATTGACACTTTATCATGATGAAAGAGCTCTGTTAATTTCTGCCAATATCCCTACCATATGCTTTTTTTTAATTTGCTTAAGTAAACAGTCACCTTTTAGAGAAATTAAAGGCTAGAAAGAGTATTTACCCATATATTTACCATTTGTGGTATCTTTCATTCCTTCATTCAGATCTGAGTTTTTCTCTGATGTCTTTTCCTTCAGTCTAAATAACTTCATTTTATGTTACTAGTACTGCAGTTCTACTTATGATGA